AGCTTGCCCGGTCCAGGAGCTTGCCTGGTCAAGGAGCGTGCCTGGTCCACGAGCCTACCTTGACCAAGAGCTTGCCTAGTCCAAGAGCGTGCGTGGTGCACGAGCGTGCGTGGTCAGGAGCTGCCCGGTCCAGGAGCTTGCCTGGTCCACGAGCTTGCCTGAATCTAGGAGGCGTGCTTGGTCCAGGATCTCGCCTGGTCCAGGAGCGTGCCTCGTCCACGAGTTTGCCTGGTCCGGGAGCTTGCCTGGTCCAGGAGCTTGCGTGGTCTAGGAGCTTGCCTGTCTCGGAGCGTGCTTGGTCCAGGAGCTTGCCTGGTCCCAGGAGCTTCCTAGTCCAAGAGCTTGCCTGGTCCAGGAGCGTGCCTGGTCCATGAGCCTGCTTGGTCCACGAGCGTGCCTGGTCCAGGAGCTTGCCCGGTCCAGGAGCGTGCCTGGTCCACGAGCTTGCTTGGTCCAGGAGCTTGCCTGGTCCATGAGCTTGCCTGGGTCCAGGAGCTTGCCTGGTCCAGGAGCTTGCCTGTCAGGAGCTGCCTGGTCCAAGAGCTTGCTTGGTCCAGGAGCTTGCACTGGTCCAGGAGCTTGCCTTGTCCAGGAGCTTGCCTGGTCCACGAGCTTGCCTGGTCCTGAGCTTGCCTGGTTCAAGAGCTTGCCTGGTCCAAGAGCTTGCCTGGTCCAAGAGCTTGCGTGGTTTAGGAGATTGCCTCGTCCACAAGCTTGCAAGGTCCAGGGGCGTGCCTGGTCACACGAGCTTGCCTAGTCCAGGAGCTTTCCTGGTCCACGGATCTTGCGTGGTTTAGGAGCTTGCCTGGTCCAGGAGCGTGCCTGGTCCAAGAGCTTGCCTGATCCTGGAGCTTGCCTGGTCCAGAAGCTTGCCTGGTCCAGGATCTTGCCTGGTCCAGAGCGTGCCTGGCCCACGGGTTTGCCTGGTCCAGGAGCTTGCCTGGTCCAGGAGCTTGCCTTGTCTAGGAGCTTGCGTGGTCCAGGAGCGTGGCTTGTTCAGAGCTTGCCTGGTCCACGAGCTTGCCTCGTCCAAGAGTGTGCCTGGTCCACGAGCCTGCCTGGTCCAAGAACTTGCCTGGACCAAGAGCGTGCCTGGTCCACGAGCGTGCCTGGTCTAGGGGCTTGCCTGGTCCAGGAGCTTGTCTGGTCCAGGAGCTTGCCCGGTTCCAGGCGCTTTCCTGGTCCAGTAGCTTGCCTGGTCTAGGAGCTTGCCTGGTCCAGGAGCGTGCCTGGTCCAGGGAGCTTGCCTGGTCCAGGAGCTTGCTTGGTCCAGAAGCCTGCCTCGTCCAACAGCTTGCGTGGTCCAGGAGCTTGCCTAGTCCACGAGCTTGCTTGGTCAAGAAGCGTGCCAGATCAAAGAGCTTGCCTAGTCCAGGAGCGTGCTGGTCCACGACCATGCCTGGTCCACGAGCTGCGTGGTCGAGGAGCTTGCCTGAATCCAGGAGCTTGCCTGGTCCAAGAGCTTGCCTGGTCCACGAGCCTGCCTGGTCCAAGAGCTTGTCTGGTCCAAGAGCTTGTATGGTCAAGAGCTTGCGTGGTCCAGGAGCTTGCGAGGTCCAGGATCTTGCCCAGTCCAGGAGCGTGCCTTCTTCACGAGCCTGCCTAGTCCCGGAGCTTGCTGGTGCAGGAGCTTGCCTAGTCTATGGAGCTTGCCTGGTCCAAAGCTTGCTGGTCCAGGAGCTTGCCTGGTCCATGAGCTTGCCTGGTCTAGGAGCTTGCGTGGTCTAGGAGCTTGCCTGGTCTAGGAGCTTGCCTAGTCCAGGAGCTTGCCTGGTCCAGTAGCTTGCCTGGTCCAGGAGCGTGCCTGGTCCACGAGCTTGATGGTGTAGGAGCTTGCCTTGTCCAGGAGCTTGCCTGGTCCAAGAGCTGTGCCTGGTCCGAGAGCTTGCGTGGTCCAGGAGCTTGCCTCGTCCTGAAGCTTCCTAGTGTAGGAGCGTGCCTGGTCTAGGAGCTTGCCTGGTCCAGGATCTTGCCTGGTCCAGGAGCGTGCCTGGTCCACGAGTTTGCCTCGTCCAAGAGCTAGCCTGGTCAGGAGCTTGCCTGGTCTAGGAGCTTGCCTGGTCTTGAGAGTGCCTGGTCTAGGAGCTTGCCTGGTCCAGAGCTTGCCTCGTCCAGGAGCTTGCCTGGTCAAGGAGCGTTGCCTCGTCCACGAGCCTGCCTGGACCAAGAGCTTGCCTATTCAAGAGCCTGCGTGGTCCACGAGCAGTGTCTGGTCAAGGAGCTTGCCTGGTCCAGGAGCGTGCCTGGTCCACGAGCCTGCCTGGCCCAGGAGCTTGCCTGGTCAAGGAGCTTGCCTGGTCCGAGGAGCTTGCTGGTCCAGGAGCTTGCCTGGTCCAGGAGCTTGCATGTTCCAGGAGCTTGCCTGGTCCAGGAGCTTGCCTGGTCAAGGAGCTTGCCTTGTCAAGGAGCGTGCCTGGTTGAGGAGTGTGCCTGGTCCAGGAGCTTGCTTGGTCCACAAGCATGCCTGGTCCAAGAGCTTGCCTCGACAAGGAGCTTGCCTTGTCCAAGAGTTTGCCTCGTCCAGGAGCTTGCCTAGTCGCCAGGAGCTTGCCTCGTCCAGGAGCTTGCTTGTTCCGAAGCCTGCCTGGTCCAAGAGCTTGCCTTGTCCAGGAGCGTGCCTGGTCCAAGAGCTTGCGTGGTCCGGGAGCTTACCAGGCTCCAGGAGCTTGCCGAGTCCAGGAGCGTGCCTGGTCCATGAGCCTGCTTGGTCCAGGACCTTGCCTGGTCCACGAGCTTGCCTGGTCCAGGAGCTTGCCTAGTCCAGGAGCTTGCCTGGTCCAAGAGCTTGCCTGGTCCAGGAGCTTGCCTGGTCCAAGAGCTTGTCTGGTCCAGGAGCTTGCTGGTCCAGGCAGCTTGCCTGGTCCAGGAGCGTGCCGGGTCCACCGAGCTTGCCTGGTCCTGGAGCTTGCCTAGTTCACAAGCTTGCCTAGTCCAAGAGCTTGCCTGGTCCAAGAGCTTGCGTGGTTTAGGAGCTTGCCTGGTCCAGAATGCTTCCAAGGTCCAGGAGCGTGCATAGTCCACGAGCTTGCCTAGTCTAGGAGCTTGCCTGGTCCAGGAGCTTGCCTGGTCCATGAGCTTGCCAGGTCTAGGAGCTTGCGTGGTCCAGGAGCTTGCCCTGGTCTAGGAGCTTGCCTAGTCCAGGAGCTTGCCTGGTCCAGTAGCTTGCCTGGTCCAGGAGCGTGTCTGGTCCACGAGCTTGATGGTGTAGGAGCTTGCCTTGTCCAGGAGCTTGCCTGGTCCAAGAGCTTGCCTGGTCCGAGAGCTTTGCGTGGTCCAGGAGCTTGCCTCGTCCAGGAGCTTCCCTAGTGTAGGAGCGTGCCTGGTCTAGGAGCTTGCCTGGTCCTGGATCTTGCCTGGTCCAGGAGCGTGCCTGGTCCACGAGTTTGCCTCGTCCAAGAGCTAGCCTGGTCCAGGAGCTTGCCTGGTCTAGGAGCTTGCCTGGTCCTTGAGAGTGCCTGGTCTAGGAGCTTGCCTGGTCCAGGAGCTTGCCTGGTCCAGGAGCTTGCCTGGTCAAGGAGCGTGCCTCGTCCACGAGCCTGCCTGGACCAAGAGCTTGCCTATTCCAAGAGCCTGCGTGGTCCACGAGCATGTCTGGTCCAGGAGCTTGCCTGGTCCAGGAGCGTGCCTGGTCCACGAGCCTGCCTGGCCCAGGAGCTTGCCTGGTCAAGGAGCTTGCCTGGGTCCAGGAGCTTGCCTGGTCCAGGAGCTTGCCTGGTCCAGGAGCTTGCATGTTCCAGGAGCTTGCCTGGTCCAGGAGCTTGCCTGGTCAAGGAGCTTGCCTTGTCAAGGAGCGTGCCTGGTCGAGGAAGTGTGCCTGGTCCAGGGAGCTTGCTTGGTCCACAAGTATGCCTGGTCCAAGAGCTTGCCTCGACAAGGAGCTTGCCTTGTCCAAGGAGTTTGCCTCGTCCAGGAGCTTGCCTAGTCCCAGAGCTTGCCTCGTCCAGGAGCTTGCTTGTTCCAGAAGCCTGCCTGGTCCAAGAGCTTGCCTTGTCCAGGAGCGTGCCTGGTCCAAGAGCTTGCGTGGTCCGGGAGCTTACCAGGTCCAGGAGCTTGCCGAGTCCAGGAGCGTGCCTGGTCCATGAGCCTGCTTGGTCCAGGACCTTGCCTGGTCCACGAGCTTGCCTGGTCCAGGAGCTTGCCTAGTCCAGAGCTTGCCTGGTCCAAGAGCTTGCCTGGTCCAGGAGCTTGCCTGGTCCAAGAGCTTGTCTGGTCCAGGAGCTTGCCTGGTCCAGGAGCTTGCCTGGTCCAGGAGCGTGCCTGGTCCACGAGCTTGCCTGGTCCTGGAGCTTGCCTTGTTTACGAGCTTGCCTAGTCCAAAGAGCTTGCCTGGTCCAAGAGCTTGCGTGTTTAGAGCTTGCCTGGTCCAGAAGCTTCCAAGGTCCAGGAGCGTGCCTAGTCCACGAGCTTGCCTAGTCTAGGAGCTTGCCTAGTCCAGGACCTTGCCTGGTCTAGGAGCTTGCCTGGTCCTGGACCTTGCCTTGTCCAGGAGCTTGCCTGATCCTGGAGCTTGCCGGGTCCAAGCTTGCCTGGTCCAGAGCGTGCCTGGTCCAAGAGTTTGCGTGGTCGAGGAGCTTGCCTGGTCCAGGAGCTTGCCTGGTCTAGAGCCTGCGTGGTCCAAGAGCGTGCCTTGTTCAGGAGCTTGCGTGGTCCAAGAGCTTGCCTGATCCAAGAGTGTGCTTGGTCCACGAGCCTCCTGGTCCAAGAGCTTGCCTGGACCAAGAGTGTCCTGGTCAACGAGCGTGCCTAGTCCAGGAGCTTGCCTTGTCCACGAGCTGCCTGGTCCAGGGGCTTGCCCGGTCCAGGAGCTTGCCTGGTCCAGGAGCTTGCTTGGTCCAGAAGCGTGCCTGATCCAAGGAGCTTGCCTAGTCCAGGAGCGTGCCTGGTCCACGAGCGTGCCTGGTCCAGGAGCTTGCGTGGTGGAGGAGCTTGCCTGGTCCAGAGCTTGCCTTGGTCCAAGAGCTTGCCTGGTCCCACGAGCTTGCCTGGTCCACGGAGCCTGTCTAGGGTGATGGAAGCGGGGAGAATGGGGCAGGTTGATGGAAAGCGGAGAATGGGGCAGGGTGATAGAAAGCGGAGAAAGGGCGAGTGATGGAAAGTGGTAGAATGGGCGGGGTGATGGAAAGCGGGAGAATGGGGCGGGGTAATGGAAAGAGGGAGAATGGGACGGGTGATAGAAAGCGGGAGAATGGGGGGTTGATGGGAATCGGGAAGGAGGCGGGTGATGGAAAGCGGGAGAATGGGGCGGCTGATGGAAAGCTGGAGAATGGGGCGGGGTGATGGAAAGCGGGAATATGGGGTGGGGTGATGGAAAGCGGGAGATTGGGTGGGGTGATGGAAAGCGGGAGAATGGGCGGGGTGATGGAAAGCAGGAGAATGGGGCGGGTTATGGAAAGCTAGAGAATGGGGCGGGGTGATGGAAAGCGGTGGAAGGGGCGGGCTGATAGAAACGGGAAAATGGGGCGGGTGATGGAAGGAGGGGAAATGGGGCGGGATGATGGAAGGAGGGAGAATGGGGGCAGGGCGATGTAAGGAGGGAGAATGGGGCGGGCTGATGGAAAGTGGGAGAATGTGGCTGGGTGATGGAAAGTGGAGAATGGGGCGGGTGATGGAAAGCGGGAGAATGAGGCGGGGTGATGGAAGGAGGGAGAATGGGCGGGATGATGGAAGGAGGGAGAATGGGCAGGCGATAGATGGAGGGAGAATGGGGCGGGATGATGGAAGGAGGGAGAATGGGGCAGGGCGATGGAAGGAGGGAGAATGGGGCGGGCTGATGGAAAGTGGGAGAATGTGGCTGGGTGATGGAAAGTGGGAGAATGGGGCGGGGTGATGGAAAGCGGGAGAATGAGGCGGGGTGATGGAAGGAGGGAGAATGGGGGCGGTGTGATGGAAAGCGGGAGAATGGGGCGGGGTGATGGAAAGCGGGAGAATGGGCCGGGGTGATGGGAAGCGGGAGAATGGGGCAGGGTGATGGAAAGCGGGAGAATGGGGCAGGGTGATGGAAAGCGGGAGAATGGGGTGGAGTGATGGAAAGCGGGAGAATGGGGCGGGGTGATGGAAAGCGGGAGAATGGGGAGGGGTGATGGAAATCGGAGAATGGGGGGGTGTGATGGAAACAGGGAGAATGGGGCGGGGTGATGGAAAGAGGGAGAATGGGGCGGGTGATGGAAAGCGGGAGAATGGGCGGGGTGATGGTAAGCGGGAGAACGGGGCGGGGTGATGGAAAGAGGGAGAATGGGGCGGGTGATGGAAAGCGGGAGAATGTGGGCGGGTTGATGGAAAGGGGGAGAATGGGCGGGGTGATGGAAAGCGGGAGAACGGAGCAGGGTGATGGAAAGCGAGAGAACGGGGGGGTGATGGAAAGAGGGAGAATGGGGCGGGTGATGGAAAGCGGGAGAATGGGGCCGGGTGATGGAAACCGGGAGAATGGGGCGGGGTGATGGAAAGCGGGAGAATGGGGCGGGGTGATGGAAAGCGGGAGAATGGGGCGGGTGATGGAAAGCGGGAGAATAGGGCGGGATGATGGAAAGAGGGAGAATAGGGAGGGGTGATGGAAAGAGGGAGAATAGGGCGGGGTGATGGAAAGCGGGAGAATGGAGCGGGTGATGGAAAGAGGGAGAATGGGACGGGGTGATGGAAAGCGGGAGAATGGGGCGGGGTGATGAAAAGCGGGAGAATGGGGCGGGGTGATGGAAAGCTAGAGAATGGGGCGGGTGATGGAATGAGGGAGAATGGGGCGGGGTGATGGAAAGCACGAGAATGGGGCGGGGTGATGGAAAGCGGGAAATGGGGCGGGGTTCTGGAAAGCGGGAGAACTGGGCGGGCTGATGGAAAGCGAGAGAATGGGGCGGGTGTTTGAAAGAGGGAGAATGGGGCGGGGTGATGGAAAGCGGGAGAATGGGGCGGGGTGATGGAAAGAGGGAGAATGGGGCGGGGTGATGGAAAGAGGG